AAATTAAAACGGAGTGGAGAAACAACAACTGTGTAGACAAATATGCTTAATGCTTACAGAGATGTGGCTGTGCGTGGACTCGTAGCGTGACGATGCAGATGGCGGGCTTCGAGCATTTCTTGGCGAAAGTGTATCACCTAGTTTTGGCGGTCGCTTTTTCAACGAATGACTGATTTGCCTCATATTATGGGCGGACTTTGAACACTGCTTCTGGGGTTCGTGATTGGAGTTTGTTGACTTCTCACACATCTTTTGTTCCAACAGCCTATCTGGCATCGGTGAGGCCTCTGGTTTAAAAACATGATCGTGGCAAACACTTGCTATTCTTTCCGCGCTTATCGGATTGGAAAGATCGCTTTGCACAGAGCTACTGAAGCTTGAAACTTTAGGCGACGACTCATCCACCATTGGTTTAACCTCATCAACCTAGAAAAAATAAAACAACAGTTTCACCATTTCGGTTTAAAACAATTCTCAGAAAAGTGCATTACGATTTACAAACTAACCATTATTTTACGACTTAGGATTATATCAGTAATACAACTGTGGCTTACTACTAGGGGATTCGGAGTCCTGTTCAGCTCGCCTTTGATGAACCGCTCAACTTTATCCATGCAAGCATCCTGATAATCATGCACCCAGCGGACTCCATTATACTTAGTAATATGCCGAATATCTGCCGGTATGTCCTTCTCAGAAGTTGGGAACTCAAAGTGTTGGTCAAATATGGGGATCACATTTTTTTCGTGTTTAAATGCGCATACAAGCTAGAAAAAAAAATAACGGTCTATTTTGATTATTTTGAAGCGTTGTACTCAAATCTTTTTTACTACGAGTTAACGGCGAAAACAGCTAAAGAGTATTAAAAGTGGCCAGCTAAGTAATCTCTTACCTCTTTATGGATCCAGTCGTCACAGTTATCATCATTTAGAAGTCTATCGAAACAGTGAGGAGTGAGCACTAAAACAAAATGTTTCGCTGCCTGTATGCTTTTCAGAAGCGATGAGTCAAATTTTCCAGCATAAAGTTTGTCGACATCAATGAACACCTGAAAGTGCAGATTCGATTTATCAAAACCATCAATTAATCATATTAACAAAAAACAACAAAATTCTAATATCATCTGTAGAAAATTTCACTTGGTAAAAAAGTCGCTCAATAAACTATTGTTTGAAATGAATTCTCGAGTTAAATGTCTGAGAAAATAGCTACCTTGTAGCCACGAAGTTGCAACAACACTTTTATTAAGCTAGCCAACTGATTGCCAGTGCTGCGCCGATAGCTGATGAAAACGTCTATTTGTTTGCTCAATAAGGAAATTTCTATATCTTCAATGTGTTTGCTGTCTAAAAATTATTTTATTTAATAAGTAATAAAAATGTTCAATTATTGTACAAATTTTCGAAAAAATTGAATTTGTAAATTTTAAACTGATGGCGAAGGCAAAACTGAATAAATGCAAAAGCATGAAATGGCATGGGACGGATGAAACAAGTACAAACTTTGCAGTGCTTGTTTTAGCTTCAATCGGTGAACAGGATTTCTCATGCCACATTCGTTCTTCATCATCTCATCAGTCAGAAGTGGCAATAACGGGCGATTTACGCTTGCGCTCAACATCTGGTAAGTGTAAATTGAGAACTCGGGACATAACGACATCAGGAATTGATCCAAATGTGTTTCATCAAGCCCTCCATAGTCAGCAGCAATCTAGAAATATATTTAGGATTTGTTACCCAAATGACCAGTGGCAATTCTCTTTAAATGAGAGAAAGAATTTGAAAAAAAAAAAGAAACTGAATAATAACCTACCTTCAAGCTTTCAAGCTCCCTCATAAATCGCTTCCTCAGCAGGCCGGAAGAAATTTGAATGTCACGTTTTAAATCTTCTTCCGTAATCAGCAGCAGTAAATCGCCGTCTACCATATTTTTCGCAAATGCATCGGCATATTTCTCGAAACCAATCTTAAAAAGTGCCTTTGTCATTCAGGGAACTTCTTTCTCCCCTCACATTTTCCACAAACCAAACATTTTGCTAGCCAGATTTTCTCAAACACAACAACTGTATAGGTGATAAGCCCGCTTAAGGTGCTATAAATGAGTATCAAAAATTACTCTTCCGCTTCTTCTTCTTGTTTGGAATTTAGAGCATAATTTTCCTCTTTTTTTTAATTTAAATTTCCCTCTCTTCTATATCTTTTGTAAGAAGATGGCTGCTAATACAGTTTTTTTTTTTTTTTTTTT